GGATAGGGAGGCACCTCTCTAGGACAAGCAAGCACTCACCCAGGGTTCATAACCTTTCCCACAGGGGGCCACCAGCCTTCCTTTTGAGCTCACCCCACTTCTATAGTATCCACTCTTTGCATCTTGTCATTTTTTTTTCTTCTTGCCACACACCATGATGAGCGGCCGAGACTACCTTGCAGGTGTCTTTGTGTAAGAGTACAGAGAAAAGCAGCCACCAGCATGGACTTTTGTGCATCAGAGCCAATCTGATCTACTCAGTGCCTCAGAACATTCCTTTGATGCTGACCCAGCATGTCTTTTTTGGCAAGGCATGGCTAGGTCTTTGTGAATACTGACCCCAAAAGGAGGCAGAATGAAAATGTCTCTTTAGGAACCTAAAGTGTGAGGGTAAGTCATGTGAGCTCTGCCATCCCTTCCCCACTCCTCCCTCTGTCAGGGAATATGAGGCTTTCTCATGTTCCTGGGCTAGCACTCTGGCTACATCAACTTTCAGTATGAAACTAAAAACTAAAATTGGGAGGTTGAGGCCATTAGATTCAGTCAGAGATGAATTCACACCATCCAGTAAAATGAAAGATCTCCTTGGAGACAGCTATTCATTGACATTTAGGCTTAACGCTTGTGGGCCTACAAGAAGCCATGGGAGTGAAGAGACCAGAGGATGGAGCAGAGCCATCAGGAAGGACGGTCCTGTGGAGACCTGTGGCAAAGAGGTGGGACCTGTATCTGAGTCCCCAGGCCTGATTCAAGGAGGAAAGGCTGGAACGGATGATTTAGAGGAGGGGTCACCTGGTGCAGACAGCTTCATCATCCAAATCTAGAGTGAAGTGTAACCCGGGGTGCCAGGAGAAAAGAAAGAGTATAGGCGAGATTGGCCAAGAACAAAGGTGTGAATGGAAGAGTTGGAAAGGCAATCATGTTGCAGAGCTCCCTGCTGGAGCTGGCAACAAAAGGGATCCAGGCCCTGGATCAAGGAGCCTTGCAGGCCTGGTGGAGTAAGAGGGTCGGGAAGGTTTTAGAAGTTTACAAACAGCTTCAGGCTGACCTCAGCACCCTAGGGCCACAAGCAGGTCAAGGAAACCTGTTTTAGAGGGTTTTCAGGGATGGAGAAGTAAGTTCAGCCTTCCAAGTGGTTGCTTCCATCCTCTGGCCCACCAAGACCCTGAAACTGTGGTCCTCTAGAAAGTAGGCAGATAAGAGGCTTCCTTGTGTGTCTTCATGACCTGCCAAAGTGGTGTTTGGGTGAGTGGAGTACTGAGCTAGGGCTATGTAAAAACAGTGCTGGGCTCTTCCATCCACAAGCTGTTTATCCCATTCCTGAGTCTCTAATTCCTCTTTTGCAAATAGGAAATTCTCTTACTAAGCAGTGGTGGAGCGTGCCTTTAATCCCAGCAGGTGAATCTCTGAGTTCCAGGCCAGCCTGGTTTACAGGGCAAGCTCCAGGACAGCCAGGGCTACACAGAGAAACCTTGCCTATCTCTTTCCAGCTAGGGATAGTTAAAGTTATGATCCTTCTGCAGAGAGCCTGGCTAGCCACTCCTGCCAGTGCCAGGTGTGCCTTCACTCCTGTTACTGCTGTCTAAGCTTTGTAGAGAGTACGCCCTTCCCCACTGGAATATTCTCCAAGTGGCTGGCACACAGGCCATGACCCACTGGATGAAATCTGAGTGGGCCTGGCTCCGGCTCTGGCCAGGATGTGGGCCATTGTGCTGGCTCTGATCTAAGACTGACCTAGTTTGGCCACATGTACACAAAGTATTTGAGACATTCAACTCACACCTGCTTACCTTGCTTGCCAGGGGTCATTGCTGGGTGAGGCTTCCACCTTCACTCCTGTCCCTGTGGCTCTCTCTACCCAGCACAGCCTCGCCTCCTATTTCCTCCATTCACCTTATTTAGAATCTGAGGGCTATGGGTGCTTGCAGAACTGCCTCTCCCCCTGGGAATCTTCACTGGACCTGTGAAGCGGTAGAGGACTACGCTCCCAACAGTTCAGTCATGAGAATGAGAGCAGCAGGCCTCCAAGAGAGAGGACCTGAAGCCTGTCCCTCCAACACCCTCTCAAAGGACTAAGGACGAGGGACCCAGACTTGTTATTACAGCTGCAGGAGTACGAGGGATAACAGAAATTCCAAGCCAAGGGCTGCTTCTAGGTCAGCTTGGCCAGGATCAACCACGGGCTGCAGTCCCAGAAGCTATGAGGCCTCTGAACACCTGACACGGAGCACGTTTGACTGGCCCCAGGGGAACTGTCAATGGCTTTGCCTTCAGACAGGTGCTTCAGCCTCACTAGCCCAGCTGACCTTCTCCAGTACAAGAAAGGCCAAGGTCAGTGCTTCCCTTGGAATTTCCAGCACCGGTCTGAGCCTGCAGAACAGGAACTCTCTCCCCTTTGACACTCTCAGATACCCCTAGAAAGCACCCATACAGGACACGCCAGTCAACACTCCAAATTCTATCAAGAGTGGCATTTATTCTCCTCGTGGAGGTGCGGCGCTCCGAGGAGCTGGTGCTATTGTGCTTAGGAAGGAGGTCTGTCCGTCCGTCCGTCTGTCCGGCCGGCCCGGCCCCAAACGGGGGCGGAAGAGGGACACGGCCCGAGTAAAAATCCCGGCCTGTTGCGGGCCAGGAGTATGTACAAGGTGGCGGGGCGCAGGCGGGGGTGGGGGCGGGGCGGGCCGGCAGCCACAGCCCCCACCCGAGGGACCCCCGCACCTCGGGCCCTACTTGTAGAATCAGTACAAAATAGGTGCTACCTAAACGTTCCTTCTACCTGAATTCGCTAAGTCGGTTATTGTGCTGCTTAGTTATGGGGGCGGGAGGGGGCCCATGGCTTTCCACGGCGGCAGGGTGTGGGCGAAGCGGGAGATCCTGGCGGGCCCACAGCCCTTCCAGCCTTCTCCATAGGTAGGTAGACAGGAGTAAGGAGCGGGGCGGGGTGGGCGCCTCTGTGTGCGTGTGCATGCGGCACAGGCTGGCAGGCCCGAGCTGGGAACCGTGGGCGATTTCGCCAGGTGGAGTAAGGGACTTAGATATGGGCACTGCTATGCTAGGCCTGCGGGTCCGCACCAGGAGGGTAGCCAAGCTTTCGGTGCTGGGATGAGGCTGGCCATATCATATACTCCAGCGTGTTGCACCTTAGCGGCACAGAGACAGCAAGAGCCTCGTATCTCAGGGGATCAGAAAATGGGTACCTGTGTGGGTGGCCCTGGTGAAGCTGGGCCCCTCTCGAGAGACCCTGGGACCTGTCCAATTTGAGCTGGGGACATAAGGCCCAAGTCAAAGGCAGAGCCTGACTACACCCAGCATATTCCAGGACTGAGGTGGGTAGGAGAGGCCGTCTGGGCCCAGGGATCCAGCCCTCTGAATCTGCCTTCTACCCTGGCCTACCCATGCTTATTGGGCCCTGGCACTGACAGGCGACTCCCCGAAGGTTGCCGCCTATCTGACGGATTCAGGAATGGGCCTGGCATATCTCGTAGGTACCCAATGATGGGTCGGTGAGTGATGAACAAGCGAGGCCTTGGGTGATTCCATTTCACCACAGCCTCTGGAACCGTGACGCCTGCCGGGCTCTGCCCTGGGGTAGGGAATGGGGAAAGAAAGTCTGCGTGGCCGGCCCCGCGCAGAATCCCTGATCTAGGGGCCTATGGGATGGGTAGGGCAGGGGATACCTGATTCTCAGTAACTCTAGAGGCTGCGGCAGCTTTACATGCAGTGCGCGTTATTGCTCTATAGTCTGCATTGGACTAACTAAGAGGAAGGGGAGCGGGCAGCCCCGGGAAGGGTTTGGAAGGAGGGTGGGACTGCATGCAGTGATGTCACAAAGGCGGCGGCCAATGGGGCGGGCCCCTGGAGCAGGGTCACCGCCGAGGCTTTGGCATAGACGGGTGAAAGTTGGCAACCGAGTGGGGGTGGGGCCTGGGCCTCCGGGGTGGCGGGGGGGGGGGGGGGGGGAAAGGGCCGGCCTCTGCGAGGCGAAGCTCAGGGTGAGAGGAAGTGGCCCTGGACAACCTAAGCCCCGGGCGTCGGCGGGAAGGATGAGGGTTAGGCGCCCCCTCCCCGACCCGAGTGCAATCCGTTCATAAATAAAACGTATAAATACAGAAAGAAAGGAACCCGACGCGTCCGCAACCCCCCCAGGGGGCTTTACCCGCAAAGCAAATACAGAGGTGTGTAGAGGGCAGTGGCACGCCAGCCTGCCGGCCCGGGTATCCGTCCTCCAACACCCGAAGCCTGGGGAGCGAGGGAGGGGGCCCCGGGGCAGGGTGGGGTCGGGGTCTGAGGAGGTCGGATAAGTTCATGCGATTCCGATATGTGTCATTATTATTCGTTATGGAGGACAGAGCCCCGGAAGCAGGGCTGGAAGAATTCGGATTTGGCAGAGGATGCGAGGCGTGGGTAGGAGGGAGGCTCGGACTGAGGCCCCAGAAAGAACCCGGGGTGTGTGTGGGGGGAACAGGGTTGCCACGGTCCGCGCCCCTCCCCGTGCCCAAATCGCCTAGCACTCCCGGGAGGTCTGCAAAGCCTGTGGACCGGAGTGCCTCTGCGGCCCGCCCGCTCTCCTGATTCCCCTCCGGCCAGCTGCCCGAAAGGAGCTGACTCCCTGGACGCCGGGCTGAAGGCTTGGCCTGGAAGGCTTGGGAAGGGATGGGGGAAGACCTGAGTCTCTGCAACGCGATTCCAGGGGTGCAGAGGAGGGAGGAGGGCGCTCCTTACCTCACCTCACCCCTGTCTTCAGAGACCCAACTAAGAGATGAGGTTCGGTTCTGGGTCTGGTCGACCCTATTGCTGGGAGAAAGCCTGGGGCACCCTGGAGGAGAGGGGAGGGTTTTCAGGGTGGGTCTCCCCTCGGGACCCTATTGCTTGAAGGGGCTGGCAAGGCTCCTGGCGAGCGGGGCGGGGCGGGGCCGGCTCCCTGCCCCCCTATTGCTGTGAGGAGGGGCCCGCCCTCCAGCCCCTCCGCCCGGACGCCGGCGGAGACTTCCCTGGGGGGGGGGGGAGGGGGGGGGGGGGGGGCCCCGTATTGCTGAGAGCCGACCTGGCCGGCGGAGGCCCCGCCCACCCTAGGCTTGAACCGGGCTGAGCTGCGGCGGCGCGGGGGTCGCAGGGCCGCCGGCGCCGCCCTTGAAGCAGGCTGACTCGTAGTGCTTGTTGAGATAAGACTTGAGCGCGAAGCTCTTCTTGCAGCGCTTGCACTGGAAGTGCTTGAAGGCCGAGTGCGTCTGCATGTGCGCGCGCAGGTTGGAGCGGTCGGCGAAGGCCTTGCCGCAGTGCGCGCAGCCGAAGGGTTTCTCGCCCGTGTGCGAGCGCATGTGGCCCTGCAGCAGCCAGGGCCTGGAGAAGGCCTTGCCGCACACGCCGCACTTGTGGCGCAGGTCGTGCGTGAGCAGGTGCATCGCCATGGCCGGCATGGACACGTACACCTTGCCGCACGTCGGGCAACGCCTTGCCAGCTGGCTGTCCAGGCTGCGGTGCGTCTGCTTGTGGCGGCTCAG